CGGGAATACACAATTCTGCCATATGCTGACTTGATGAGCAATGTGTAGGACTTACCTTTACCCTTAAACACTGGTTTGAGAACATGTATTGTTTATAGCAAAGTAGAAGTACAATAAATTGGGTTGGATTAACAAATATAAGGTCATGTGGAATCAACAGGTGGTGTAAACAAGCTCACCATTTTTTAGAGATCTCATTAGCGAGGACTGTAAGGGGATAAAAGTTACAGATTCATTTGGGCCATTACATGGAAGACTGCAAGAGAGGAACTGCAGGATCCCCTATTATCTGATATGATTAATGAACTGGCCAACTGATCAAGGGCCTCTGTTGATCAGAGGCTAATTATTTGGGTAATTGTAATTTCAGTTATCTGGATCCCACCAACAAGTGACCTGTTAAGCAAATCTGCTTTAATAGAAAAGCAGGAGTCATCTCCCTTTCAAACCACACACTCCAGACTGGGGTAACAAATGCAGTTTCCATACATACAGGCAATTCCTGCTTAGCACTCTTAATTGGTTCCTGAAAAACCAAGCAGTTATGTGAAACAAGCGTTAAGCAAAACAGAAAGTATTTGACAATCCACGAGAGCGACTACGAGCATTATAACGAAATTTGCTGAGTGCTAAGTGGAAACAGGTATCAATTTTATATGATCGTTATAGCAAAATAGCACTAAGTGGGGGTTGCCTGTACTAACATCATCCATCAAGGAATACATACTACAGAATTCATCAACACTTTTCCTCAGCTACAAGGACTAAATTCAGCATATCAAACCTGCCTTGTACTCACTTTATTGACTTCTTGTCAAAATGGTTAGAAACTTACTTGAAAAATTATCTTGGTCTTATCTCATTTTGATGCACATTCTTTATTCCTGAGAAATTAAGGAAGCTGGTTAAATTTGGCATAGTTATTCTACTTCCCAAATGTTTCTAATCATTGATGACTTTAACAATGCAAGGGTAAAGGAAAGCTGTAGTGATTTAGCCAATTTAGCTAAATATTTGCCAAAAAATAGATCATTAAAAATTACGAACATTTTTGGAAAAGTAGCAGTTCACACGTGCACTAAATTGTCCCAAATTATTCTTTGGTGTAGAATTATATCCTCCACAGGAAACATCTGATCTTTATACATGTTCAGTGTATTTTGAAGTTCCATTGACATTCTTGGAATTTATCATGAGTTTGTGTAATTATGTGTATAAGCCTTTATAGGATCAAAACCAAAGCCTGTTTGTTGGTTTGGATTGGTTTATTTTGTTTTGTTTTGGTTTTTTTTTTTGGGGGGGGGGGGTCCCTTAAAGATAATGATGCTATAATTGATATATTTGCCCATGATTTTTTTCAACTAAAAACTTAGTCAACCTGAGATGAAAAAACAAATAAGAATAGTGAGTTTACTGAATAATTTTATTAAAAAATCTAAAAATGGTTAAGAGTGCCCATCAGTGTGTACTACTGAAAAATGTAACTTAAAGAAATGCTCCAGCCTCATCATATGAAGTCATTTATCTGGGACTAGAAAAGATGAAGATTAAAACTGAAGTTCATGTGTATAGCATGTGTCTAAAGTTCAGGAAAAGAAGCATACAAATGTTTCTCATAACAGTTGTTTTCATTGCAACAATTGTTTACTCTTCTGCAGAAATGGTTTTGTACAATTATTTCTTGCTATAGCCGACAATAAAAGCCAAAAAAATATAATCATTCTGTAAGATGGTTGAATTTTTTTTTAAATTCTCCGTACCTTCAACACCAATTGTCAAATCCTCTTCAAGATTTTACTTTAAAGACAGCAAAGAGACTACAAAAATGGTCTGTACTGAAAATCAAACAAACAACACATAATTTGTTATTAGAAGTACAAATTATCCACACAAAAAAACCCACCAAGGCAAGCAAATCCATCTTAATCAGGTGCTGGGGAGCATACAATTGATAGGTTTGCTTATGTTCGAAAAAAAAATGTCATGCTGTTGAGGTTAAACAAGTAAAGAAGATGGCAGTTTGCATGGAGATATACTAACCAAGAAATGAAAGGGATGATTTTAGCTTTTTTTAAATCCAATGACAGAGACAAATGAATACTAGGCAGTTGTAGTTAAATGCCCTTTCTTATAATGAAAACACAGCCTTGCATTTACATCCAGTCCTAAGACAAGAAATTAAAGTATATCAGAAATATTAACTGAAATTACATTTCTATCAACAAGGTCTTTAAAACTGGGAGTACATTATGTATAATTAAAAGTGATATCAAAAGATGAAAGCAAGTTTTTTTAATGTAATGATGATACTTCAAAGTTATTCATTTTTAAATAAACATGATTTTTTAAAAATTTTGATGCACTTTGTAATATTTATTATACCAACAGCTGATGTTCATTTTGATAGCATTTGGTATTGTTTCACAGACTCTTTCCATTTGTTTTTGTGACATCTGTTGTCTTAGTGGAGCACACAGACAAACCCCCTCTCAAACTAATTTTAATAACAAGCAGGAAGAACACTATAGAAAAATGTTCTTTTACTTTCTGTTTAAAAAATGCCATCAACAAATTTAGCAATCATTTCTTGTTAACACAAGTCTTCTCTTTATGACCTTCTTGACCACAAACGGCTAGCAAAAGTTTCCCAATCACAGGCCCTGATTCTCATGGGGGATTTCAATCACCCTGACATCTGCTGGGAGAGCAATACAGAAGTGCGCAGGCAATCCAGGAAGTTTTTGGAGAGTGTTGGGGACAACTTCCTGTTGCAAGTGTTGGAGAGGCCAAATAGGGGCTGTGCTATTCTTGACTTGCTGTTCACAAACAGGGAAGAACTGATGGGGAATGTAGTAGTGGATGGCAACTTGGGCAGCAGTGACCACAAGATGATTAAGTTCAAGATCCTGAGGAAAGGAAAGAAAGAGACTAGCAGAGTATGGACTGTGGACTTCAGAAAAGCAGACTTTGACTCACTCAGGAAACTGATCCCCTGGGAGGCCAATCTGAGGTGGAAAGGAATCCAGGAGAACTGGTTGTATTTTAAAGAAACCTTACTGAAGCACAGGAACAAATCACCCCGATGTGTAGGAAGACCTAGCAAGTATGGCAGAAGACCAGCTTGGCTTATCTGGGAACACTTCAATAAGGTAAAACACAAAAAGGAAGCTTAT